TTTTTTTTTGGTTGATTTTTAGTTATAGGCTATGTTCACCTCATATATCAAGTTGGGTTTTTGTATGTTGTTGCAGATGCTTTTGGGATGTACTCGGCTGTTTAATCTTTGATTTGTCAACAATATATTGCATGATATGTTAAAAAGTGCTGTTTTTCTTAAATCTAATAAAGTTAACAAATTGGTAAAAGTTCACAAATTTGCATAAGTTTCTGTGAAAATTTGCTGCAAGCCTTTTACTTTCCTGAATCAGTTTCGTCTGGTTTCCTATGTATTACAAACTGCAAGCAATAGCACAGAGTTCAAATTGCATAAGCTACTCATCAGCTTTGCTGTGGCCTATTTCTGGCTGTTGCTTTTGTGGATTCTGTAACTAAAAAAAATTGGAATCCTATTTTGTTGATGTCATGCCATGTGGCTTCATCTCTCAAGTTATGGTTTTGTGTTAATGATACATGTTTTCTGTAGTTGCTTGTTTGCTGGTAAAGAATATTATGTTGCTAGCAGTTGACTTGTGTGATCATCTTTTTGTCATTGTTTTCTTGTCAGTTTATGCGGAGTCATTGTTCTGAGTTTTATTTACATGTTATGGTTTTCTCTAATGGCGTATTGGGTTGTTTACTGAATATCAAATGGTCATGTCTTGAGGGTTTTCTTTCTCCAAGTCTCTACATGGGAGATTGTGGGTTTTGATCGTACCGTTTCTTTTCAATTTCATGATCTAGATTCCAGTGTGTTAGTTTTCTTTTTATTTCTATGTTCTCAGTATGATAAAGAGGTTCTTAATACATAATGTTTTTGTGTAACACGTTTTATGTTTGTGTAGGTATGCTTCTTTGAGAAGACATCTTCTTATTGATCCGCATATTCCTAAAGATGGAAGTAATTCTCCTGATCCTGTCATAGACAATCCATTGTCACAAAACCCTGGTAGGATATTTGCATCATATTTTCAAGTCATTTTCTTGTCTCTTAGTTTTAGCAAGTGCAATGTTGAAAACTGTTCAAGCTTGAGCACCTTCGAACATTTGAATCTTGTTAATTAGACCATCCTGAGGAAACAATTATTTGGGTCCTGCAATATGAAAAGTATATCTCCATTTTGCTTGATCTTGCATTACAAAGTACTTGAATAAAACTGTAACTTGTCGTTGAGTACATGCTGATGATTGGTGTGGCAATGCAGATAGCATGTGGGGTCGCTTCTTCAGGAATGCTGAACTGGAGAAGATGGTTGACCAGGATCTTTCGCGTTTATATCCTGAGCATGGTAGCTATTTCCAGACTCCTGGATGCCAAGCCATGTTGAGAAGAATTCTGCTACTTTGGTGTCTTAGACATCCAGAGTATGGTTACAGACAAGGTAAATCATAATGTTGACAAACTTATTATGCGCTACTGCTTAAAGCATAATTGGCCTTTTCTAGTTTGTGGCGTCTCGTATAATATATATGTTCAGTTCTTAACTAGTGAATCAAGATGAAAGTCCTTCAAGCTTAGAAACCAGAGTGTAGGCCATGATCTTGAATTTGTCATGTTAACCTAGTGGCAAAATCGCTAATCATCTGTCCTGTTTGTCTTCTCATTATATTAATGAATAAACTTTCTGCTTTGGTTTGCAGGGATGCATGAACTGTTGGCCCCACTTCTTTATGTTCTTCAAGCTGATACGGAGCATCTCTCTGAAGTTAGGAATCTTTATGAGGATCATTTTGCTGACAAATTTGATGGGTTCTCATTTCATGAAAATGACTTGACATATAAATTTGATTTTAAAAAATTCTCGGAATCAGTGGAAGATGACAATGGATCTCATAAGAGTCCAGTGAAAATTACTAGTTTAAGTGAACTTGATCCGAAGGTTCAAGCAGTTATTTTATTAAGTGATGCATATGGCGCCGAAGGTGAGCTTGGTATTCTTCTATCAGAGAAGTTTATGGAGCACGATGCATATTGTATGTTTGACGCTCTAATGAGTGGGGCTGGTGGTGCTGTTGCTATGGCGGAATTTTTTTCCCCTTTACCATATGGTAACTCGCATACTGGATGTCCCCCTATCATTGAAGCTTCAGCATCATTATACCATTTGCTTTCGCTAGTCGATTCTTCTCTCCACAGTCATCTTATTGAACTAGGGGTTGAACCACAATATTTTGCGCTTCGCTGGTTTCGAGTACTATTTGGGCGTGAATTTGCGCTTGAAGACCTGTTGATAATCTGGGATGAAATATTTGCATGTGACAACAAGAAGTTGGAGAAGCCTTGTGATAATGATGCCGAGTCCAGCTCTGGAGTCTTAAATTCATCCAGGGGAGCATTTATATCAGCTTTTGCAGTTACTATGATACTTCATTTGAGGTCTTCATTGCTTGCCACCGAGAACACTACTACTTGCCTCCAAAGATTGCTAAATTTTCCAGAAGATATAAATCTAGGAAAACTGATAGCTAAGGCAAAATCATTGCAGGCGCTGGCGGTGGATGCCAACAATTCAGCCCCATTAATTGATCATACTGGGATCTATGGTAAAAATCAGTCAACGGTTGTAAGAGGTCATAGCCATTCAGTTGATTTAAGCTCCCCAAAAACTCCACGAGGTCCTGTAGTACCTGAAAGCTATTGGGAAGAGAAATGGAGAGTTTTACACAAGGAAGAAGAGCGCAAGCAAAATAGTGCGGAGAAACAAGTTCCAAACCGAAGAAAAGGTTGGTCTGAGAAAGTGAGGTTGCGTCTTACCAGAACTGAGTCTGCTCCACCTCCATCTACAGTTGATAATGGAAGAAAAGCTCCCAAGTCAGTGAGGAGAAGTTTGTTGAAAGATCTTGCTCAGCAGCTTGGTGCCGATGAAGATGTAGAAAAGCTTATTGATGATGAAAATATAGAGCAGGAAGCTCCAGTTGACGTTGTCGGACAAGATTGTAATGATGGAAATTTTACTTGCACATCTGAGCAGTCATGCTCCACTGTAAGTGCTGCTAGTGAACAGAATTCGTCTATTTTCTCAGATCCTCCAAGCCCTATTAGTGATGCAAATGATCATGAAAATAGATCTGAAAGAAGTAGTGTTGCATCAAATTTCTCAGCTGATGAAAATGATGCTGATGGAAATAGTGGTGAGGCATCTTGTACCAATCTAGAAGTCTCACCTCTCCCTATTTCTGTTCCCCCTCAGCAGACCTCGCTAAAATCTGAAGAAAGTGCTGACTCTGGGGGAAAAGGTCCAGTAGGCTTTAAGGAGCGGAAACTTCTATCTGGTAAATTTCAGTGGTTATGGAAATTTGGACGAAATGGTGGTGAGGAGACGTCTGAAAAAGGTCTCTGTGACTCCACGAAAGCTTGCAATAGTGGGAATAATCCAGACAGTGCTGCTGATACATCTAATAACAGTGGAATTAGCAAGGGAGAATCTGTAGACCAGAATTTAATGGTTAGTTTGAGAAATCTTGGACAGTCAATGCTTGAGAATATCCAGGTAAGACTAATATCATGCTAAACTCATCTATATTGTTTTAACTTTGTTCATATCAAAAGTATAGAACTTGCATGGATTTTCGGAACTCACCTGCAACTTACTTGGGACAGGTTCTATCCATCCATCGTATTACGATTAAACGTCTACTTAGATCCATCACAACATCTGTATCCACATAACGTTATGATATATTTGCATTACTGAGAAACTTGTTTGTGTTATTTATTTCTGTGATTTTGCAATACCAGCAGTCTGTTTATGGAATAACTGTTGCTCTGTGTACTTATCGACCAACTTAAGTTATATACTATACTCGCTATGATATGGTCTGTTCATTAATTCAAGAATCATCATTTTGTGCAGGTGATTGAATCAGTTTTTCAGCAAGATCGCGATCAAGTTGGGACCTTAGAAAACCTTTCGAAAAATGTTCTAGTTGGTAAAGGACAAGTAACAGCCATGGCAGCTCTCAAGGAGCTTCGGAAAATCAGCAACCTCCTCTCTGAGATGTAAGGAGACATAGAGTACGTTAAATATGTATATATAGATTTAGTAATTTAAAACGCTCGAATGCAGAATAATCAAGTCCTATTCGGCTTCTCATATCTCTTGATTGTGAGTGATTCAAAATTTTGGTATGTACCCGGATCTTATTATGTAAATACAAAATCCCCTTCAAGTATCATTGCTCAATTATGAAATGTAACAGTTGATAACGTTAGAAGTGCAGTTCTGCTTTCCAATTACAAGCGATGAGGGAACTCTCAAAAATAAGTTGATGGCTAGCTTAAAGTTAATCAAATTCTGATGATTTTTTTGTTCTGAAAAGAAGGATTTATATGGTAGCTGTCAAACATCTTGCAATCATTCAGCTACAGTCAAATTTCTCTATAATAACCTCATTTGTTCAGAATCTTTTTGGTTGTTATAGTGATTATAATATAACTTTTATAGTGAATGATTGTTATGTAGTAGTAAAGATCAAAAGGATCTTTCTTTCGAGTTATTTACTTCCTTGGTCAGGTCCAAGGAGAAGATAATTTTCTTACTCTTCAACTCCCAATAATTTCTTTCCTTTTTTATGGAAAGAGTGAATGCAAACCTTAAGGGGTCTGTGAGCAAGAAATGAATCAAGATTCGATCGCTCTAGTAGTAACAGTTATCGGATGTTGAATGGTCTGGTCAACTCGTTCCAATCCTGTGTAGTGTCCCACCAACCACATTTTTCAAACAAACCAAAGCTAATCTGAATTACTCTTTCAAAAGATATAGAATGACTACGACTTTTGTAATGAAAAATATATCTTTAGAAGATGAATACGTACAGATGTATTCCTTAAAAAAAAAGTATGTCAGATATTGAATGGGCCCCAGAAAGGAAGGGGAAGTTGAACGGGATCCTTGACTAATCTTGTATAAATGTAATGAAATAGGCTATCATTGCAATCCATTTAGCTATTGTAGTTTCTTGGGGTTGACTCTTGATTGATTTGATGGAATAACAAGGAAAGAAATGTGCAGAAAATCATAAGAAAGATAAATATTCCATTCCTTTCCATCGTAATATTTGGACCCCTTCAGAATTTCACAAACACAAATCTCCAGTTGCTTAAAGTTTTATGTCCAAACGGGCTCTAAGTGAAGTCCAAAACAAGCCTCACATTTGGAGAACTGATTCATTATTCCCATACCAGAACAATACACTTCTATTTTTGCTTCATTAAGGTCACATGTCACTGATTTACTCTGGGAAGGACGCGAGCACGCAACGGATTCTTCATGACAACCGTGAGTTCCTGCAGTTCGGATAGATCAACGTCGTCTCCATCCACAGCCTTCCACTCGAAATGCCAGATCAAATTAGCCACAAAGTACTCTAAATGGATCATAGCCAAACCATAGCCTGGACATACTCTTCTCCCTGCACCAAATGGCATCATCTTGATCTCTCTACTCCCTATTATATCAAATGCTTCTGCTGTGTCATGATCTAAGAATCTATCTGGTTTAAAATCCAAGGGATTCTCCCACACTTCTGGATCCAAACCCATTTCCGCAACCATGAAATTGATCGTTGAATCCTTAGGTATGACATAGCCGTTGAGTTCCACTTCCTCTGTCACCGCGTGTGGCAGCAGCAAGTGTACTGGTGGATGCCGCCTTAGACCTTCCAAAATCACTGCTTTTAAGTAAGGCATTTTTTGTACATCTTCCTCTTTCACTCTGTTCGTTTTTCCTTCGTTCGGGTTCCCTGTGTTAACTACCTCACATATTTCTTGGTATAGTTTTTCCTGAATAGGAGGGTATTTGACTAAGTTGGCCATAATCCATTGCAGTGAGGTGGACGTGGTATCAGTGGCAGCGTTGAGGAACTCGCTGCAGAGGCTAATTATCTGTCCAAGATTAAGCTTCTTCTTTTCCTCTGGCAATTCCAAATTCAACAATGTATCCACATAGCACGCCACAGGCGCCACTTTTGCCTCATCTTCTGTTTCTTGATTCGAACCATCACTAGTCTTTTCAGCTGATTTAGCCTTCATTCGTGCCTGGATCAGAGGGATAAAGATTCCCTCTTGTTCTTGTTGCAGTTGGACGAGATCTTCCCAACGATTCCTTAAAATGATCTTTCCTAGTCCTCCCGGAAAGAATTTGATCAGTTTCTTGAATCGGCTATTACTTAGAAGCCAACTCCGTTGTGTATCTTCAATCTGTTTAGCTCGAACCCCCTCAATCTTTTCCCCGAAGCACATTAGGAGAAGAAGACAGAACATGGAATGCTGAAAATGATCAATTAACCTCGCAACTTCTCCAGAGTCTGATTGAACATGAAGGAGCCGTTGAATAAGGATACTGAGCGCCCAAGATCGGGCGTTTGAGTAGGACTTGACGCGAGATGGTTGGACGATTTCAGAGGTAAGGTTTCGTCGAAGGAGACGCCATAAGGGGCCATAGGGGGAAAAGCTAATGTTAATCCGTTGACTATTAACAGTTTGCATATCCTTTGGCCGATCAGAGAAAACAGCACCATGCTGGACTAATGCTTGGTAGGCTAAGGAGTGGCTAGCGACGAATATGGAAGGACGAAGAGATCCAATTCTGAGGTTGATGAGAGGACCATACTTAGTTGTGAGGCTCCTGAGGATCAGTTGTATATCGGCATTAAACCATACAATCGCGCTAAAAGGGAAGGGTCCAGGTGGGAGTTTCTTGTTTTTCTGCTTGGATTTGAGGAAGATTAATAAATTGAAGATGGATTTTAAGAAGAAAGAGATACAGAGTGTGATGATTATCATGAGCCATAATTCCATTGTTTTCCAGTTGTGCAAGTTTTCTAAAGTCTCCTCTTCCTTCTATTCTATTGTACTATATACAACTGCTTATTGCTCTACTATTCTACAAGTTTGACAATTTTTTTTAGTAGTAGTGTTGTCACTTGTCACATGTGTGAGGCGAGGGGAGAAGAGAGACAGAGAAACAATAATTTAAAAAGGGAAAAAAGAAATCATACACAAAATGCTATGATATTTGTTATAGCATTTTTTTATTATTTTACTCTAAGTTTCTATAATTCAGAAAGTAGGTGTAATGTGGTGGAGCCTTAATTAAGCGTAAGATAAGGAGTTAATTTCCAGGACTTGATAGACTCTACTAATTATGTACTTTGTGTGTAAAACAAACTTTTGCTATATGAATGAAAGATCAGCTCCAGTTTCATCAGATTAGATTCCTTTCTTTCATGTTTGTTTTCTCTTTCTCTCCCATATTTATTAGCTCTGAAAAGTCTTCAAAATATGAACTATCTTATGCTCGTCTGTTTTTTGATTTAATAATACGCCAATGACATTAAAAAGGCTTAGCCTAGTTTTATTTTATCTTAAAGCCAGATCATGTGATTGAGATGAATGCACCATCACAAGTGTAAGTATGTAAGCAACTAGATTAGTTTTCTACTTCAACTCAATCAATATCAACATTATCCACCAATAGCCTTAGTTAATTTTGTCACAAAATTCCGTCTCCCGGCTGGTGCAGCAAAGTGCTGCGATGATAAATGTGCACAGTGGTGAAAACATGGGTCTTCACCGAGTCTGATCATAAGATGATACGGTACCATTGCACATTTGAGCCTTTACTTTTTTTTCCGAAGTCTACTCTCTTTATGGCGTCCCAAAACAAAAAAACTTGTTAGTATATATATTTTAGAAAACAATTAATGAGAGAGAGAAAACTTTTTGTTTAATAGTAGAAATATTTTAGAACTTTAAATTAAATTACTCATATTTTTATATTAATACATAAAATATTTGCAACAATATCCAAGATATTGTATTGTAAACATATGGCTGACATCTTACTAAGTTGAATTAGCTATTATCAATATGAATAATAAGATTACTATATGATTCATTTCTTGTAAGAATACTGCACTATGTACAACAAGTATGGAGAAAAAAGGTAACACTAACTTTTTGCATAAAGACAGAGCATGTACGCCACACCTCTGAGGAGTCTAGGGCCTCTAGGCATACCTATAAAAAGACAGATGTATCAAGGAATGACCTATAAAATTATGAATTTTAAATAGGGAACTATGCACTTGTAAATAGGGATTTATATATACTTTCTTGTTGCCTCTACATTCCCCACACATAAGCTTGGCTACCTTACACGGGCAACTCGGCGTGACATCACCCCACGTCATCTTGCATGTAATCTGGTATTCGCAATTAAAGTGAAGTGATGTCGGCTCCCCTATAAAAGACATGTTAAATTAAACATTGAAAAAACATATGATCATGTCAAAAAAATGCATTTTTACAAGGTGAATTTGAAGAGGCCATCATGTAATCTGATCAATTGTTATGTCATCACTGAAGAGGAAAATGCAGTTTTACAAGATGAATTTATTGAACACGAGGTGTTGTTATGTCTTAAGATGTGTGCCTGGGACAAAGCCCCTAGCTAAGATTGCTACACAATGGGCTTCCTCATCAAATGTTGGGATGTTTTGAAGCATCATGGAAACCTTCAAATACTTTTACATTCATGGAGTTTTAGAGAAAGCTATAATGCAACCTATATAGCCTTGATCCCAAAAACAAATGGAGCTAAGGACTTGAGAGACTATAGACTCATTAGCCTTATAGACAGTATCTACAAGTTGATCTCAAAGGTATTAACTTAAAAGAGTAATAAGCAAGTTGCTAGATGTCCAACATATGATTTTCATTAAAGAGAGACAAATGATGGATGCTATTTTAATTGCTAATGAAGATGTGGATTCCAGAATCAAACAAGGAAAGTCAGGAATTCTTTTCAAATTAGACATTGAAAAAGCATATGATCATGTCAAAAAAAAAAACATATTGATCTCTCCGATCGACTCCTGCAGTTCCTTGATCATAGCATCTTTCTTTTTGCATTCTTCCTCAAGCCTCGTTAGCTCATCTCTAAAACAACAGCAACTTGAAAGTTCTAATAAAAGTTTTACCTAAAAATCATATGAGGTTAGACAAAAAGTTTGTAATATAAGTTTTACCTTAACCTTTCGGTATCATCTTCTACACCTGTTGCCTCATTGCTCTCTTCCTCAAAGCCAGAGCCACATCACTGAGCAATAATACTTAATAACAATATCCATCGACAATAATAGGATTTATAAGAAAAATGTATCAACAACTATAGGTGTCCACCAGATTGTAGAGAAAGATTCCACCATTGCAACGAACAATGAAAATCATTAGCAGATGAATTTTGGATGATTTGACTATAAGTTCAAGACCGGTTTGGGAAAAAGATGATACAACTATTAAAAAGCATGAAGATGCTCCATAATTACTTTTTACGTAAATCAATTGATACCCACAAACAGGCACCACATTCTTTGCTGCAAATACTGATATCAACAACTTATACAAATGTGTAATTGTGTAAACCATAAAAGATCTTGTTCAGCACGGTGTTATCCAACGGTAATGAACATGACAAAAATTATATATGCATCAGATATTGATATCAGTATATTGTAAATAGATGATTATCATCCTAGTCATCTGGATTAGTTTGTTGGTTATGAAATGGTTGAGTTGTTATTCGAGTTAGTTAAAAATATCTTTTGGCCGATCAGAGAACAACCCCGTGCTGGACTAATGCTTGGTAGGCTAATGAGTGGCTAGCAACGAATATGGAAGGACGAAGAGATCCAATTCTGAGGTTGATGAGAGGACCATACTTAGTTTTGAGGCCCATGAGGATGAGATGTATATCGATATTAAACCTTAGTAAGCACCCAATCGCGCTAAAAGGGAAGGGTCCAGGTGGAAGTTTCTTGTTCTTCTGGTTGGATTTGGGGAAAAGAAGAAAGAGATGTAGAGTGATGATAAGGAGTCAATTTCCAGGATGTGATAGACTCTACTTTTTTTTTTACTTTGTGTATAAAACAAACTTTTGCTGTATGAATGAAAATCATCTCCAATTTCATCACATAAGTTTCTTATATTTCATGTTTGTTTTCTCTTGCTCTCCTATATTTATTAGCTATGAAAAGTCTTCAAAATATCAACTATCTTATGCTCGTCTGTTTTTGAGTTAATAATAACCCAATGACATTAAAAAGGCTTAACCTAGTTTTAGTTTATTTTAAAGCTAGTTAATTACTGTGATAGAGATGAATGCTCCATCAGTAATGTTAGTTGATTATGTCACAAAATTCCATCTCCATAAGACAATAGTCTTATTAACTTACATTTCCATTTTA